GCCCTTCTTTTCGTTTAGAAAATGGAAGATATATTGCCTCCGGCCTCTGAGTCATGGATGGACACTGCCCTTCGGTGGGTCAGTGTTCCTAGTAGACAGGCTTATTTTCCTAGCATTATTGACATTAACAGTACATATTGATTTTGTGAAAAAACAGCTTTTGGGAATTCAGGTATCCATTTATTAAGAGTTGATACACAATGTATACACACTGTTTTGGCCTTTTACTCCCTCACATTTACCTGTGTATCTTTCTGTAATGTGTATGCTATTTAATTTTTTCCTATGCACAGCCTATGCCGTATAAATTGTTTGAATGAGTCGTCATGCATTATTTAGCTATTCATGTATGCTTACTGCCATTCAATAAATTGCAGCTTGTTTACCACTACTTGTCGGAAACTGAGAATCATGAGAGGCTCTGATGCTGCTGGAATGGGTATGTATGTCACACCCATACTATCATGTCTCTAATATTTCTCCATTTTTGCTTTTGAAGATTTTGTTACGAAAAAAAAACGTTCATATGAAATTTGTGGCTCCATTCTTTGTGATGGTTTTTTGTATATCTTTAGTTTCATGGTGTGCTGGTATTCCCGATTACTAAACCAGTCCTTATCGTGGACTTGTGGTGATTTCACGTGAAAATAGCCTCTGAAATGTCCTTTTGAGCCGACGTCAAATCTGACCATGATGTTATTCTTTAAAAAAGAATACCGCGCTAAAAACACTAGTCTTTAATCATAGGTCGTATCAGGTAATTTTGAGTAAAATTCTTGACCACTATGAAGTACTGTATTGTGTACTGGAATTAGACCAACCACATATCGCCAGAAACATGAAACAGAGTTAAATAAAAGATCTTGATATGTTGCAACAGGTTCATGGTTTCATTTATCAAATCATGGATGAAATCCCTTGTGGGTAAAATCTGGATATCCTAAAACATAAAAGTTAGACATTTTTTGTGAACTAAAATAAAAGTGCCCTGAGGCTTGTACATGTCATATGACTAGTGAGTGTCTTCTTTCATTTGACAGTTACTCTCTTTCAGTCGCCATGTCTCTCTGTTCCGTTGCGTTTATCTGATCTGAAGTGTCTACTTGCAGCCCCAAGATAGCTGGAACCGACGACCGGCCAGAACAAACAAGCGCCCGTCCGTCCTGGCCTCTCCTCCGCTTCCTGAAGTCTGTCTGAATCACGCAAGTGTGGAATTTTGAGTTAACGCTGCAAGGCGCGGCTGAAGGGTGCGATGGTTGTCTCGACTCTCTGAAAGTGTCTGCGCTGCTGCTGCTAGTTTTATCTGTCTGTCTACGTGTGTAGTGGAATATGTGCGTCCTACTGTAAAACAATCCGTTTTTGGCCTCGCCGTTTGTAGATGGTCCCTTTTGGTTCATGAAAGATCATCGCTGGCTGTATGATGATGCTTTCGCCTATGCTCTTACATATATATTTGAAGTCAAGTCGTATTTTATGAAAAGTGTCGCAAATGGATCCATCTTGTGCTGTGCATGGAAGCAAAGTTGATCTAGTTACGGTGAGAAGCATATTTTGCACTAACTGGCTGGTAGAGCCAAACAGTATCAACTTCCAGAGCGTGTGGCCAAAGAATAGGTGTCCTTGGATATGATTATGTTATGTTTTTTTTTTTGCGAGGAAATATGATTGGTTGATTATTCTGTTTTTCTTCAGCAAGAGAAGGACCCAAAGCGGCATTATACTAGTAGTATATCTGTGTACTTGACGGGCTCACCAGAAAAGAAAGACACAGACTAAAAAGTCTTGGAAAAATCATTCACCAGAAGAATAAAGTACTAGAAAATGCTAGTACAAAAGACAGAAACATCTACTCCCTCCGTTCCAAAATGGATTACTCAACTTTGTATTAAAGTTAGTACTCCCTCCGTCTAGGTGAGTAAGTCATCTTAGGTTGTGCACTGTGACCAAGGAGGAGATGAAAACAAGAGACCTTACTGTTTATTTGCTAATTAATAGCATTGCATGCAATGAACTAACCACTGCATGTCGTGTTTGATAGTCTCAAGTCATTAAAAGCATGCACATCCCTTGTCTCTTATTGGTTGATATGTGAACAAACAAGAAACGAGGTAGAAGTTAATGCACCACGCTTAAGTATTTTGGGATTATTTGATTTTCGTAAGATGACTTACACATCTAGACGGAGGGAGTACCATAGCGCAGCACGGTACATGCGCGATGGACACGCGATGGCACGCCACGTTCGTCCCTGACTTCATCACGGCGCGCACGCTCACCGCCAACGACGGCGAGATCCTCCTTCGCCATGGCGCGCTCTGGATGGTGCTGCTTGACAAGCGAGGCGTGACGGTGGATGCGCGGTACATGCGCGAGGGCGAACGCATCGGGTTCGATCAGGCGATCTCGTTTCCGTGTCATGTGGCTAGGGTTGGACAGCGCATTCAGTCGCCGTGCGCGCCCCCGTTGCATGCGGGGCTTGGTACACAACGCGCGGAGGAGCGGCATGCAGCGGCTGGATGCGCGACATCTGGCGCGGGGAGAGCTGCCGGATCAGATCCATGGCCGCCCCACCGCCATGCGGGGCCCAACAATGGCGTCGAGGTACTTAATGGACACCGAGGGGGCGCGGGCACACCCAATTCCCCACCTACCACCACTCCTACCAGATCAGACTCGCATCTCGCCTATCTCTTCGGGCACCTGTGGGAGAGATCTAGGGTTTCCTCCTCTTCCCCACCTCCGCCGCGTGATTCCTTCGGCTGGTGGCGTGGCAAGGTCGGCGGCGACAACCGCTCCTTTGCGCAAGTCGCAGAGGGCTCGAAGATCCGTCTCGATCCGTCCAAGGCGATGGGGGATCAAGGCGGGGGGCGATTTGGAGGGCGACGCGACTTCGCTGGCCGTGGTGGGTTCGGGGGTGGACGCCGACCACCGCCACCCAACCAGACGCGCAACATGGTGTGGCAGCGGCCAGATCTATCGTCGGCCGCGGCCGGGAGTTCCAGATCCGCGGGCGGCGGGGTTGGCGACAAGTGGGAGGCGGTGGCGCGGGCGATGGGAGGAGGGGCTAAGGAGTGGGAGACTTAGAAGATGGCGGCCCCCAAGGATGCGAATCCTCCCCCTGCTGCTAATTCGACCACAACTCCGGCCACCAAGAGCTCCGAGGAGCGATGCCTCAACTGCAACAACTCAGGTCATTTCACTCCACGTTGCCCTACTATTCGTTGCGAGAAATGCAACAAGCTTGGTCATATGACTCAGTTGTGCCAATCACTCAGGCCGTGGGAGTGTGTTCCTATGCTGTGCGGGTTTCAATCACCCGGCCAGGGCTTCTTCTATATTCCTGATTTGTGTGCTGCTAAACAGAGTTCTGAGAAAACTAATAATGTAGTTATCACGGTCATAGAGGGGGCTGCTACTGTGAAAGAGATAGAACATGAATTCAACTGCATTTTTGCTCATAAACCTGGCAAGAAAAAATGGCGCTGTACTGCTCGTTCCATTAGTCCAACTCAATTTGTCATGCGGTTCCCGAATGCCAGTGAAGTAGAAAGAGCATGTTGCTATGGTAAATGTCTTCCTTTGAAGGATGGTTCTATCATTGTGTGCATTACTCCATGGTCTGCATCTGTGGGGGCTAAAGGGAGTATGGAAAAAGCATGTGTTCGTGTTAGAAATGTTCCACTGAAAAAAAGATGCCCGGAGCATGTTGCATATGCTGGGGGGCTGGTTGGTATTACTTTGGAAGTGGATGAGGCAACATTACACAAACCTGAGTATGCCAGGATATTGCTTGGATGCAGAGAGGTTAAGAAAATTCCTCCTTCCGCTGAAGGGATGTTAGGTGAACAATTCTATGATTTTTTTATGAGGTTGAGAAGGTGGTATCTGTTGGGGGAGAGAAAAATCAAACCTCCATTGCTGTTGACAGTGGTGCATCCCCATCAGTCCCAAAAAAAGCTAGGGTGGACTCATGCCCAGCTTCCTCTATGGAGCAAGGGGATACTGATGCATCTATGGTGGGGAATCAGTCATCGCAGAACTATGATAAGAATTATCAGAGATTAGCTGTTGTGTCTGAGAATGAGGAAGAGGAGGACAGTGACGAAGGGAATCATACTGAGCTGCTTATTGAATCTATGGCCAGAGAGCATGATAAAAGAAATGTGTCATATTACGATTCCCCAGTCAACAACACGGCTGCTGGGAACATTGGTGATGAGATGAGTTGTGAGGATGGGGGTATGCCGCCTGCCAAAAAAGGTGCTTGGGAAATTATCCAAACCCCTGTTCCTCCTTCTCCCATGTTTTTGCCTCATTATGAAAATTCTCATGGGCCTGTGTACCCTCCCTTGTTAGATTATGTGAGTTGGCCCTCTCTGCCTCATATAGTCCCTCTTGAAGAAGGTTCAACAGAGGGGGGAGGGGATTGCAGTGCTTACACTGTTGAATC